CCACCAACATTTAGATTAGCAGCCGAGCTCATTAAATGTTGATTTTTCAGGAATCCGCCAGCCCTAACCTGTAGTCAAGGATACCAGGGACATACGGGGAGAATCCTGGCTCCTAACCTTTCCACCTCTCGCTTGTTCTTCAACATAACTGAATGAAACACAATTGGCTCTCAAGGGCGGTTCCTGAGAGAATTTGATTTGTTGCCAAGGCAGTTCATTGAGGGGGAGGAAAGCAGTCCTAAGGAAACAGGGCTGAGGAAACCTCACGTTGATTTGGGGATGAGGGGCTGTTTTGGTTTCCTTTTCCTGCTTCACCTAAGGGACAGAGGAAATGAGGACTTAGATGCAAGGAACCCACATCACTGTCTCCGTGTATTTATTCAGGGCGTGGGTCTGGGGAGAAATAACTGAGAGCCAGGTCTCCGCAATGGGAGGGATCATTTGAGTTTACTAGGATCAGTCCTTACCCAAGGACTTCACACCTGGCAAACAGGTAGTGCGAGTCCTCCAACTTTGTTCTTCTTCTTCAGTAGTGCTGTACTTATTCAGGGCCTCTTCCCTTTCCATTCTAATGTACTTTTGACACTTCTATCGTGAGTCACTGTGAGTCAGAATCAACTCGAGGGCAACCAACAACAAAACAGCATCTTTTTTTGTGAGTGTTTCCATTACCTCCTCGTGTTCCTTCCTTCAGCCTTAGTATTTTTATATAAGGAGAAAGAGGAAGAGAGACTTGTGCAAAGACAAGGGTCTCAGCTAAAATTTGAATATTCAAATATTCCAAAGCTTTCTCTTTCACTGGGACCTTGGGGCCCAGGTCCCTGTCAGGGACCCAGGTGCTTTCAGTCTCATCCCATTCTTGGTCTCTAACTGCTTGCAGGATCTTTTAGGGGGAGAGAGTGGAAATCCTTTTCCTACTGCACTGGAAAGCATAAAAGACATCTTGTTCCTTTTTGTTTCCAGTAGGTACTCACTAAATGTGTTGTACGTTTAAAAAAGAAGACTTCTACAAAAAAACAAACAAACACAAAGGAATTAAAGATCGAAATGTAAACCAGAAAGAAAAGCTTAAAAACCTACTAAAGAAACGATAAAAATAATGTTGAGTTGGAGAAATCTTTCCAATCCAGGCACAAATTCCAGAAGACATAAAGGGAGAATATGATAGATCTGAGCTCTTCAAAATAAAAATTGCAAAGAACATAAACAAAGCCAGAATACAATAAACCAGGAGAAAACATTGGCAATGCTCATAGCGGGCAAAATGTGAATGTCCATTCGACGCAAAGATCCTGCAAATCAACATGCAAAGACTGAAACCAATTTTCAAAAAGTAGGTAAGAGATATAAACTGATAATTCCCAGAAGAAGAAACACAGATGAACATTTAACATATGACTAGATACTCATTTTCACTCAAAATTCAAAAAATGAAAGTTAATACAAAGAGACACATTTTTGAAACGTAAAAGGACGTATAATGTCCAGTTGGCGAGGGGGTGGGCAGCACTCCCTCATTCCCTGTAGACAGGAGAGTATAAAAGGTTTCAGAGTTTTGGAGAATAACCTAGCAATGCACACAAATCCTAACATGTGCCAACTCTCTGCCCCAGCAACCCACTCCTAGGTCTCTAAGCGACAGAGACCACAGGCTAAGTGTGCAAGCACATGGATTTTAGGATATTTAGTGCAGCGTTGTATTTAGCACCAAAACAAAGGGAAATAACTAAACGTCCTTTCCTAAGGGAGTAGATGAGGAGGCTTGGTGGCGCAATCCTTAAGCACTGGGCTGTTAACCCAAAGGTTAGCGGTTCAAATCCACCAGCCACTCTGCTGGAGTAAGATGTGGCAGTCTGTTTCCCTAAAGATTACAGCCTAGGAAACCCTATGGAGCACTTCTACTGTGTCATATAGGGTCACTGTGAGTCGGAATCAGCTAGGTGACACACACAACAAGGGAGCAGATAGGTCCATTAGGGTCCATTCATACTAGGGAATACTCTGGAGCCATTAAAAAGAGTGAGGAGGAAAAAGAAGTGGCATATAATAAGATACCATCAGTAGCCTGTAAGAGTCCCTGGGGGGCACAAATGGTTAAACCCTCAGCTGGTGAACAAAAGGCTGGATGTTCAAGTCAACACAGACGTGACTTCAAAGAAAGGCTTGGCAATCTACATCTGAAAAATGAGCCATTGAAAACCCTATGGAGCACAGTTCTGCTCTGACACACATGGGGTTGCCCCAGGTCAGTATTGACTCACGGGCAAGTGGAAACTGGCAGCAGCCTGTAACAGGAAGTGAAAATATGAGACTCCACAGAGCAAGGTCTCCCTAGTGGGGTGTAGAGGGGAGGAGGTGAACAAGAGAGGAAGAGGTGGAGCGAGAGGGGATGGGGAAGGGAAGCCGTATGCAAGGTTTAAAGTTTTTTATTTGGTTGTCAACACTTAAAACTTAGAAACTTTTACACCAAATAATCTATAATTCTGAGAATCTCTTAGAATGAGACTTCTGGCAAATTAGGCCCACACTTCACCCAGCAACCCTCATTTGCATCTGAGGGTGCTTCCAGTTCACCCCAGTTCCCCACAACCCCTGCTTCCCCCTCACTCCCACTGCCCAGGCATTGCCAGAAGTCGGCCATGGGGTCAACAGAGCAGAGAACTCTAACCCCATTTCTCAGCTGAAGAAACTGAGGCCCAGAGAGGGAAAGTGATTTACCCAGGTTCTCACGGCTCTTGGTGAGCTGAGTGGATGCCAACACCAGGCCTTCTGACTCTGGGATTTAAGATAAAGTTTCTAAACTAACAAGTGAAACTCTACTCTGTCCCCACAGACATCGTTACCTGTGGTAACAGATTGGTCTGTGCCTTCCAGGTTTGTCTCTGCTTCTACAAACACACAGATCTAAGCACACACTCCAAAGGTTATACTCGCACATGTGCAGTTTGGTCTTTTATTTTAAGATCACAAAGCCGGGATCACACTGTGGATACCATTCCACAATGTGCCCTCCACATGCCCTGTGTCTGTGCCATCTTTTGATTCCAGACACACAGGACTTCCTCTCTCTTTTCCCCTCATCCGGCAGGCCTGAACAGGGGGCTTGTGGGGTGCAGGGGCTGGAGTCCTGCCATCTCCCTGCTCGGCCTCTCATCCTGTGGGCAAGGCACTCTGGCCCAGTCCCCGCCCTCTCAGGGCCTCAGTTTCCCCCAAAGAGCCAGGCACAGAGCAGGTTCTCAGACAGGGTAGGTGGAACAACCTCTGGATTCTTTGTACCTCAAAGAAGTCCTTTGCCCCCATCAGGCCTCAGCAGCAGCACGCTGTGGGCAGCCTCAGGGTTTGGCTCACCATCCCTTCTCCCCCTCCTCTGCTTCCTACAAAGTGCCCGAAGGGTCGGACGCACCAATGCCTACCTTCCTTCTGGGGTGACCTGGCCAGGTTTCAGGCAGCTGAGAATCCATTCTGAGCTCAGGGGAGCTTTGTAACCCATCAGTGCCTTCCTCCACCCACCACTACTCAGAGGCACAAAGGAAGGGAGGTGCAGACAAACCAGCATTCAAATCTGGACGCTGTCATGACTTAGCTGTGTGACCTCGGGCCCATTACCTAGCCTCTCTGAGCTTTGATTTTCCTTCTCTAAAAAAGAATGACGATAATTCTTTTCTTACAGAGTTGTTGTGAGGATGAGATGAGGGGTCATAACCCTCCCCATCTTACCCTACTCCCAACTTACCAAGGAATTGTCCCCTTACAGAGTTTGAGTAAGATCCGGCTGCTCTTAGGCATGTGGACCCAGATGCCAGCCTGAGGGCATGAGTGTCTGTGCAGTCACCAGACACATCCTCTGCGTCTCCAGATACTCTCGAGAATTAGAAAAGGAAACCAAAAGCCTCAACCTCAGAGCAGCTCAGGACAAACACTTTAGAAAGTACGCCTGCCAGCAGCACCACCCTCAGCCCAGTCCCACCCCCTTGGCTGACCACTGAGAGGAATAAACCCCGGCCTGACATTCCAGGCCCTTTCAGACTCAGCCCATCAGGCCTCACCTCCTGGGGATCTGCAGGGTCTTCGGGAAGGAGAGGTGCTCCGGTGTCAGGCCAAAACTTGCCACTAACTGGCTGTGCGGCCCGCAACAAATGACTCCCCCTGCCCCTCGTGGACTCATCCCCAGCCCCACCCTCCCGTAACCCTCCCCAGCATCCTTGCCTGTTCGCCTCTGGATCACCAGCACTTATCACCGTCCTGCACATACCAGGCGCTCCCCGCATACCTCCTTGAATGCCATGGCCCTGTGGCTCCTAGACATTTGTGGATGCAGGTTTATTGCCAGGAGTACCTGCTTCTCTTGTTGTTAGTTACCATCGAGTCAATTCCGACTCATGGCAACCCCATGTGTGCAGAGTAGAACTGCCCCATAGTGTTTTCAATGGTGTGACCTTTCAGAAGCAGTTCACCAGGCCTGTCTTCTGAGGTACCTCTGGGTGGGCTTGAAATGCCAACATTTCAGCTAGTAGTTGAGCCGTTAACTGTGTGCCCCACCCAGGGCCTCCTACAGCCTGGAAAAACCAAGCCCATCCTTCAAAGCCCAGTCAGGCATCACCTCCTCTGAGAAGTCCTCCAGCATCCTCCCTGGCAGAGTCCACTGCCCCGCACTCTGCACCATGGCACCTTGGAGGGGGGTACACTTTAAATCCAGCTGAAAGAACTGTGTTCTCATACTACCCCTTTGAGTCATGGGTCTCTCTAAACTAGTTCTTGATGACAGGGACCACACCTGGATCCCAAGGCCCATCTTCAGTGGTCAAGCCATTTGGATGGACCCAGAAATGTGTGCGTATGTGCACAGAGAAAGCTGCTGTTTTCTGTCACTATTCATTTCCACTTGACAACAGAGCTTCTTCACACCATTGGAGGTAGTTTACAGGAAGTCAGATTTCTAGCAACTCAGAAAGGTGTGAAAGCATCAAAAAAACTGCCCTTCCTGCCTGGTTCCTACCAACAGAGTGCTGACTGTGAGCAGGGCACTGTGTGGGCACTTTACAAGCATTTTCCTGTTTCATGTTCACATCAATGCTAGGAGTTATGTCCATTTTACAGACAAAGAAACTGAGAGGAAGAGGTCCATGGCTAATAAATCATAGAGCTGGGATTTCTGTCTGACTTCTCTGCTTTGCCCAGGAAGAAGGGGCAAAGTCTACCCCAGGGGCAGATGACCCAATAAGCAAGGTAAGCACGGGCTTCTCTTGTAGTTACTTATTAATCTGTAGTGAACAATTAATCTGTTGTGAACAATTTCACCTTTTTTTTTTTTTTTTACCTCATCAAGGGTTCTGCTTCTAGGTATGGCTGGCATCTGTCTCTCTCCCAGCCCCACAACACCATCCTACAGATTCAAAGCCTCTTTTCAAATACAATACCTGACAGGGATAGAGTACCCAGTAAGCCAAGGTAAGCATCCACCACGTGTCTGTCAGTTTGTGGTATTGTGGGGGATTGCGTGTTGCTGTGATGCTGGAAGCTATGCCAATGGTATTTCAAATACCAGCAGGGTCACCCTTGGTGGACAGGTTTCAATGGAGTTTCCAGACTAGACAGACTAGGAAGAAGGAGCTGGTTGTCTAGTTCTGAAAAAATTGGCCAGTGAAAACCTTATGAATAGCATAGGGACATTGTCTGATATAGTGCTAGAAGATGAGCCCCTCAGATTGGAAGGATGGGGACCTTCATCTGCTGATGTGGCACGACTTAAAATGAGAAGAAACAACTGCAAACATCTGTTAATAATCTGAACGTGGAATGCACGAAGTACGAATCTAGGAAAATCGGATGTCGTCAAAAATGAAATGGAATGCATAAATATCAATATCCTAGGCATTAGTGAGCTGAAATGGACTGGTATTGGCCATTTTGAATCAGACACTCATATGATCTACTATGCCAGGAATGACAAATTGAAGAGGAATGGTGTGGCATTCATCAAAAAGAACATTTCAAGATCTATCCTGAGGTATAACTCTGTCAGTGACAGGATAATGTCCATACACATACAAGAGAGACCAGTTAATATGAATATTATTCAAATTTACGCACCAACCACTAAGGCCAAAGATGATGAAATTGAAGATTTTTACCAGGTTTTATAGTCTGAAATTAATCAAACATGCAGTCAAGATGCACTGATAATTACAGGTGATTGGAATAAGAAATGTGGAAACAAAGATCCGGAGTTTGAAAATGTGGCCTTGGTAACAGAAATGACACTGGAGATCCATGATAGAATTTTACAAGACCTATGACTCCTTCATTGCAAATACCTTTTTTCAACAACCTAAACAGTGACTATACACATGGACCTCACCAGATGGAATACACAGGAATCAGATCAACTACATCTATGGACACAGACAATGGAAAAGCTCAATATTATCAGTTGGAACAAGGACAGGGGCTGACTGTGGAACAGACCATCAATTGCTCATATACAAGTCAAGTTGAAGCTGAAGAAAAGTAGAACAAGTCCACCTGAGCCAAAGTACAACCTTGAGTATATCCCACCTGAATTTAGAGACCCTCTCAAGAACAGATTTGATGCACTGAACATAAGACCAGACGAGTTGTGGAATGACATCAAGGATATCACACATGAAGAAAGCAAGAGCTTATGAAAAAGACAAAAAAGAAAGAAAAGACCAAAATGGATGTCAGAAGAGACTCTGAAAGTTGCTCTAGAAGGTAGAGTAGCAAAAGCAAATGGAAGAAATAATGAAGTAAAAGAGCTGAACAGAAGGTTTCAAAGGGCAGCTTGAGAAGACAAAGTAAAGTATTATAATGACCTGTGCAAAGACCTGGAGATACAAAACCAGAAGAGAAGAACACGTTCGGCATTTGTCAAGCTGAAAGAACTTGAAAAAGAAAAGAGCTTGAAGAAAAATTTCAAGCCTTGAGTTGCAATATTGAAGTATTCTACAGGGAAAATATTAAACACGGAAGGAAGCATCAAAAGAAGATGGAAGGAATACAGGGTCACTGCACCAAAAAGAACCGGTCAACATTCAACCATTTCAGGAGGTAACATATGATCAAGAACTGATGGTACTGAATGAAGAGGTCGAAGCCGCTCTGAAGGCAATTGTCGAAAAACAAGGCTCCAGGAATTGATGGAATACTAATTCAGATATTTCAACAAATGGATGCAGCACTTGAAGTGCTCACTCATCTATGCCAAGAAATTTGGAAGACAGCTACCTGGACAACCGACTGGAAGAGATCCGTATTTGTACACATTCCAAAAAAAGGTGAACCAACCGAATGCAGAAATTATCAAACAATATCATTAATATAACACACAAGTAAAATTTTGGTGAAGATTGTTCAAAAGAGGTTGCAGCAGTACATTGACAGAGAACTGCCAGAAATTCAAGTCGGATTCAGAAGAGGATGTGGAACAAGAGATAGCAGTGCTGATGTCAGACTGATCTTGGCTGAAAGCAGAGAATACCAGAAAGGTGTTCACCTGTGTTTGATTGCCTATGCAAAGGCATTCAACTATGTGGATCTTAACAAATTATGGATAACACTGGGAAGAAGGGAACTCCAGAAAACTTAATTAGACCAAGAGGCAGTTGTTCAAACAGAACAAGGGGATACTGCGTGGTTTAAAGTCAAGAACGGTGTGGGTCAGGGTTGCAACTTTTCACCACATTTATTTACTGTGTATGCTGAGCGAATAATCCAAGAAGCTGGACTATATGAAGGAGAACGCGGTACCAGGATTGAAGGAAGACTCATTAACAACCTGCCATATGCAGATGACACAACCTTGCTTGCCGAAATCAAAGAGGACCTGAAGCACTTACTGATGGAAGATCAAAGACTACAGCCTTCAGTATAGATTACACCTCAACATAAACTAAACAAAAATCCTCAGAACTGGACCGAAAAACAACGTGATGATAAACGGAGAAAAGATTGAAGTTGTCAAGGATTTCATTTGAATTGGATTCACAATCAATGCCCATATAAGCAGCAGTTAGGAAATCAAAGGCTTTATTGCACTGGGCAAATCTGCTGCAAAAGACCTCTTTAAAGTGTTAGAAAGCAAAGCTGTCACCTTGAGGACTAAGGTGTGTCTGACCCAGGTCATGGTATTTTCAATCGCCTCATATGCATGCAAAACCTGGACAATGAATTGAAGCAAGACCAAAGAATTGATGCCTTTGAATTATGGTGTTGGCGAAGAATATTGAATATACTATGGACTGCCAGAAAAATAAACAAATCTGTCTTGGAATAAATACAGCCAGAATTCTCCTTAGAAGCAAAGATGGCGAGACTTCATTTCATGTACTTTGGACATGTTATTTAGAGGGTCAACACAAAAGAGCAACACCCTCAATGAGGTGGGTTGACACAGTGGTTACAACAATGGGCTCAAACGTAGCAACAACTGTGAGGATAGCATAGAACCAGGCAGTGTTTTGTTCTGTTGTACATAGGGTTGCTATGAGTTGGAACAGGCTCGACGGCACCTAACAGCAATCACCATCACCTAAGTTTGCCACCGGAAAACCCTGTGTCCACTGGAGTGGAAATGAGGGGAAGTGACAGAATCGCAGACCTGGCCCATGTGTTCAGAACAGGGAGCCTTTGGGGCAGCAGGAGCTTGGAACCAGCAGTGGCTTAGGGAGGATCTAAGACCACCTGAGAACCTGCAGACATCCTGGGGAGGGTGTTGACTTCCCACCAGTAGGGAGTAGGGGCTTGGGTTTCAGCCAGTCTTATCTGTATCTTAAAGGGCCGTGGATACGAGGTTATATGACACAGTATGCATTGTACTGGCTGTATGGCTCACACTGGCCCTACACTGTCCGACACTATCTTGGGCTCTGTATGCCCTTCCCTTCCCACTCGCCCACAGTGTGAGCCTTTCTGCACCAAAAGTCTGAGGAGGAGTAGGGAGGAGTTGCTACGTGAACCATCCCTCGGTACAATGGTGGACTGCAGAGGCACAAAGAGCTGTGCTGAAGATAGAGCAGCTCTTCCAGGGGTTCCCCACTGAATCTAAGACCCAGATTCTAACACAACCCATAGGTTTGGGCAGGCCGCTGGAGAACATTCTTGGGGGCTGAGGATGGTAAGATGCTGGTAAAATGCTTCAAGCTTATCTAGGGGATCTTGTTAAAACACAAGTGCTGATTCAGAGGTTTTGGGTGGGGCCCAAAATTGTTTCTAAGCAGTTCCCACAGGCAGCTGATACTGCTGGTCCAGGGACCACACTTTGAGTAGAGAGGGTCTAGTGTACTTTACTTGACAGATAGGGAAGCTGACCAGAGAGGCAGTTTGGTGCAATGAATTACTTAATATGGCCCTTCTAGCCATGGTCTTTAGGACTCACACACAGTGATTGAGAGGGACAATGCAAATAAGGTATTTGGAATCTGTGATTGTTGGGGTTATGTGTCCACTGGGCTAGGCCATGATTCCCAGTATTGTGTGATTGTCTTCCATATTTGTGTTGTGTATCCTGACCTCTATCTGTTGATGAGGCAGGATTGGTGTAAGTTGGGTCTTGGGTGGCAGCCTTGCAGGAGAGTGTGACTCAAGCCCTACCCTTACTAAAGTTACATCCTTCCCTGGGATGTGGCCTGCATCTAAGATATATGTGGGTGTCCTGGCGAGGCTGTCTCTCTCTGCATCTGAATCCCACGTCTGGTTTCTCATCAGTCAACCTCCCCAGAGGTCTGCTGTTTGACCTGCCAATTTCAGGATTCGCTGGCCTCCACACGCCCTGGGGCCAGAGGCCTATCATGTGACCTGATTCACCAGCTTCCGCAGCCTTTTAAACCAGCAGCCTGTGGTCTGAACTGCCAGTTTGGGTTCGTCAGCTCCTGCAGCCACATGGGTTGGCAGAAGCCTATGCCTGACCCATGAATTTGAGACTTGCCACCCTCCACAACTGCATGAAACATTTCCTTTATTTGTGAGTTCTGTGAGAGGGGAGGGCAAGTGCTGAGGGGGACGGGAGTAGTTGACGTTAGAGATGATGGACTAGTACAGCAGCTTTGGAAAGTTGGACATTTGGGACATCTTTCACCTCTGCCTCATAGAAACCAGCTTTGTGCTGATCTTTATAAAAGCAATTATTCGTTTAGGTAGTGACTTGCCAAAGGTGACAGAGCCAGGAGGCCCACGTGAAGCTAATGGTCCATGGGGCGCATGTGCAATTGTTTTGCCAAAATTGGACCCCCTTCTTAAGCTGGTTCCCGGAGAGACTGCCTCCACTTCTGCAGGCTCCCACTGCTGCAGTCCTCCCTACTCAGGACGAAGGAGTGTCTCCCTCCATGGAGACAATGAGCAGACAAGACTTGAAGAGCGTACATCCTTCCTTGTCTTGTTACTTAACAAATCGCATGTAGTTGCTGTCAAATCGCCTCCACTCGTTGCAACCG